CCGCCGGGGCCGGGCCGGGCGGGGAGGCCGCGCTGGGAGGGACCGGGACGCCGCCGCGAGCCGCCGCCGCCGCCGCTCACGGACGCGTCACGTGATGTTTGGGTCACGTGGCTCCATTCATGAAGCGCCCGGCGCAACCGCCCCGGGCCTTAAGGGGGACGCGCAGCGCTCGGGAGGCGGCGCCTTAAAGGGGCGGCGGCGGCGGCGGGACCGGGCCCCTCCCGCACGTACCGACCCCGCCACGGCGGGGGCTCCATGGTCCCAGCCGGTGCGGCTTGAAGCACGACTGAGGAGAAGGATCTGGGGGTCCTGGTGGAGAAGGATCTGGGGGTCCTGGTGGACAGTGAACTATCCACGAGCCAGCCATGTGTCCTTGAGGCCAAGAGGGCCAATGGGATCCTGGGCTGCGTAGGGAAGAGTGTGGCCAGGAGGTGGAGGGAGGTCATTCTCCCCCTCTGCTCTGCACTGGGGAGGCCACAACTGGAATCCTGCATCCAGGTCTGGGCTCCCCAGTTCAAGAGAGACAGGGAACTGCTGGAGAGAGTCCAGCATAGGGCAACAAAGATGATGGAGGGATTGGAGCATCTCCCTGAGAGAGCTGGGGCTCTGTAGCCTGGAGAAGAGAAGGCTGAGGGGAGACCTTATTAATGCTGACAAGTATCTAAAGGACAGTTTGAGGGGGATGGAGCCGGACTCTTTTCAGTGGTTCCCAGTGACAGGACGAGGGGCAACGGGCACAAGCTGGAACATGGGAAGTTCCACTCCAACCTGAGGAAGAACTTCTTTGGGGTGAGGCTGGCAGAGGCCTGGAAGAGGCTGCCCAGGGAGGGTGTGGAGTCCCCTTCTCTGGAGATCTTCAAGCCCCACCTGGATGCTCCTGAGTGATGTGCTCTGGGCAACCCTGCTTTGGCAGGGGAGTTGGACTGGATGATCTCTAGAAGGTCCCTTCCAACTCTGACAACTCTGTGATCCATGACTGGGCATCTGTGGGGGTCTGTAAGGGGTGGGGGTGTGTGAACAGCACTGCTGTCCCCTTTGCTGCACCCACAGTTCCCTAGAGCTGCTGAAACTGCACACAGGAGCAGCCAGGTCTCCACCAAAAGCTGATGCAGAGGCTTCACAGCAGCTCCCCCGGGAGAACCGGTGACGGTGCTGAAGCCCCGGCTGAGAAGCACCGAGACCTGGGATGGCTCTTCTGCTGTGAAATGCTGCTCCCCCAGGTCATGCCTGGCCTGCTGCAGGGGTCACCCTGTCCGTAACACAGCAATACTGGTGCCTGCTGCATTTACTGCTGTGCTACAAGCAGAGCAGGGATACTCTGAGAAGGATTCGTGCTCCAGGTCCTTCACGTCAGGCTCAGCCAGAAGGCTTTCCTCCCTCAGTTCTCTTTAAGTCTCCAAAACCTTGTTGGGCCCTAGAACAACTTTTGTGTCATTGCTTGGGAGCTGAGGAGAAATGGGCTGATGCACTTCCCAGTCCCACACCCAGACAAACCAGCCTCACAGCGGGGTTTGCAGCACGACTGGAGACAGAGAGAGAGAGAGAGAGACCTGCTCCAAACAGCCAGGATTAGCCACAGCTCTGTCAAAGCAGTTTATTATGTGGAGTAACCATCTGTCACATTTATAGGGTCATATCCTTGCTACCAGCTGAAAGCCTAACAACTAAAAATGCTCTAACGTTACTAGCACCTTTGGCAGCCTCTGCATCAATATCAAAATGCTTTTCCTGCAACACCTGCAGGTCCAAGATTCCTCAGGAGACAATAAGACCATCTTAAACGTCCTCCTTTTCACCAGCACTCCCCACTGTACCCCAAGGTAGATTACAGTACGACTGTTATCCACCCAAATCCATCCCACCCCCTCCAGCCCGTTGGTCCCACCGCAGCCCCATGGAAGCAATAGCAGCAGCTTGAAGGCTTTGTGCAGGTTTCTAGCTTGGGACAGGACTCGGGGAGAAAAGGAGAGAGGCAAGGAAGCCATGCAGGGACAATGGCTATGAAGAAATCACAGAAAGCAGTAGAGAGAATCTTCTTTGCTGCTGTTCTGGGGCTGGCTCCCCAGACTGTGCCTGAAGGAAAGGTTACCCATCCTTCTAGACGAGCTGTATTCCACCTTCTGTCTGATCAAAGCGTTGGTCCCTTCTGCCATTTGAGTCTACAACCCTCATTCCTCCCTTTCCTGAGTGCCCAGGGAGGAGGAACTGCATTCCCTCAACAAAGCACAGCTCCTGCTGGCACTGGTGTCCAGCAGGGCCACCCTCTGCTTGTGGCTACCACAGCCCTGGCCAGATTCCTTCCTTCACGACTACTGGAGTTTCAGGGGCAGAAGGGACCACTACTTTTAGACCTCATACTTTGCTGCTGTTTCTTTCTCAGACTCAGGAAATTCTCCAGACCAGAGCAGCAGTAGACCTCATACTTTGCTGCTGTTTCTTTCTTATAAATTTGAGTCAGACTCGGGAAATTCTCCAGACCAGAACAGCAAAGGTCTTTCCTCCTCTGCAGAAGCCTAGTCATCTGGATGTGTTTCACCAAACAGGTTCTTGTTGTTGGACAGGCATCGGGCATTCTCAAGTCCTCCCTGAACCTCTTTTGTGTCAAGCAGAGACTGACTTTCTTTCTGGGTCCCATGCAGGACAAGCCAGGTGAGATGGGACAAGATTGGAGCCACCAGCCAGACCAGATGACTCAGTGTTTCCCTTTTGTCTTGTATTCTACGGAACTAGGAAGGCAAGTGCATGAAGCAGCCTCCAACTTCTTTCTAGGTATTTTTCCCTTCTAGCCATTAGCAGTGCGACACCTTCAAAGGAACTCTCTAGAAAATACCAGAGAGCCACAACTGTGCCAACATAAGGTGACACTGAAGGCTGCTGTCCTGGATTTCACCAGCCCAAGGGCTCTGCTGGGAGAAACACCGTCTGGAAGGGACAATCAGTCCACCACCACACGGCTGATTGCACAAGGCATCAAGACTGCAGCCCAAAAAGGAGGCACAGCCTGGTGCAAGGAAAAGTCCCAGCACCTGGGTACAAATCCTGCTTGAGTCTAAGGGAATGGTGCAGAAGGAGACTTTCTCTGGAGGATGTTGTCCTTGACTTCATCTCTCCTCCCGGCCTGCCCCAGGAGCAGTGCAAAAGCGTAAGGAGAGCATGAAGGAGCACAGTGACTCTGGAATGTCCTCATGGGCATGTGGGAGCAGATTCTGCCTATCAAGAGCACAAAGAGGTGCTGGAGACAGGAAAAAGGGAGCACCTCCACCCGCCCGACCACCCAAGCCAGCCTGGCAGCAAAGGAGGGACAGGGAGAGCAGCTCATGGTTCCCCAAACCAGACAGAGCAGAGAGGGGTGGCCAGCAAAGAGAGAAATGGAGTGTGGTCCAGAAGGTCACACCATCTGTCTCTCAAAAGGCAGACGGGAGATGGGGCAAAAGCACTTTGGTCCCTTCTGAGAGGTGCTTTAGGGGTCAGCCTCCAACACATTGCATCAGTGTGGCAGCATCTGCTCTAGCGAATAAAGACAGCGACAGGACACAAGCTCTGACAGCAGATGCAAGAGTGGGCAAGAGGGGTCCAGGCCTGGTTCAAACCTTGGAGACCAAAAGGCGTTCTGAAACCTCCTAAAAAGTCCTATTAGAAACCCTTTCCGCATGAGACATCACAAACACTGCCTGAGCCCTAGAAGCATCCAAGGCTTCTGGACAAGCAGTGCCCTTGTTGAAGCTCTGATGATGGTATCACCCCTGCCCACCAGAGAACAGCAATGCCAGGGACGGTTTGTATCAACCCCACTACAGGTTAAAGACCCTCTTCTACAGTGTCACACTGCCCCACAGCCACTGCGAGCCCAGAGCCAGGGACAGGGGACACCAACATCCAGAGTGAGTGTTTTTCCTTAGATAAAAAAGAAAGGGCATGGAGAAGACTGATGGAGTGCGGAGTCTGGTCAGTTCTTCTTGCTGCTGTGGCTCTTATTGTTGAACAGACTGACTTTGCTGGCAGATGCCATGGACAGAGAAGGAGACTCCAGCTTCACCTTATCCAACAAAGTCTTCTTTATGGCTGCTGGGGAGATCTTCTCTTGGTCTGCCAGATGCTGCAGCTCCCTGAAATGGGATGGTGGGAGAGAAAGACATAGGAAAAGGAGGAGACATGGAGCACGTTTTGTGGGCTTTTTAGGACTTCCTAGGTGCCCACCTTGTCCGGATGCAGGAAGCCTCCACAGCATTGATGAGGAGCGAGCGGAAGCCACCGCTTTCCAGGAAGTGCAGGGCATGGATGGTGGCTCCCCCAGGCGAGCAGACGTTGTCCTTCAGCTGCCCAGGATGCTGCTCAGATTCTAACAGCATTTTGGCAGCACCCTGGAAGGAAGAAGAGAAAACAGCTGCCAGGGCTCTGACGGAGGAACCGGCTGTCAGATACTCCCGTTCGCCCCTGCAGAGAGCAGCACCCCACACTTACAGTGGGCAAACCCGGGCTCCTGCCCGAGAGCCATTAGCAGGCTGCCAAAACACTTTTTGGAGCTGAAAAAGCCTTGCAGGGGGGTCATGGCTCCCCAGGCCCCAGCTCCCAAACCCCCATCAGCGCCAGCAGATTGCTGCGGACGCCTCCTACGTCCCCTCATCGGGAACCTGCGTGCAGTCAAACCAAACATGGGGGTTTTTTTAAGTAGGTTCAGTAAGAGGACGGAGATAATTTCAAACTGTGACGTGCAAAATACCCTGCACAGAGCCCGCACAGGCTCACACATGTTGTGGGGGAGGAAATACTGACCAGCAAAGCCTGTGCTCCGAGTCGAACGGCCAGTCGGCGGGGAAGTCCCATTTTCACTCCCCCATCTGCCAGAGCATCCAGGGCAGTGAACGCCTGAGACCAGAGAGAAGAAGGAGGTGTTGGAATGTCTCTACTCCAAGACTGATGTTCTCAGGGAAGAGAGAATCCAGGGCTCCAGGATCACTCTGTGACTCCTGTCGCTCACAGACTTGACAAGAGCCTCCCCCTTTCTGCATGGGTGCCTTGCCAGGCTTCCCCCCACCCCCCAAACTGGTTCCTGCTCAGGAATGGGGCAATGGGAGAAATCCAGTGTCTGGATCATAACAACTACAGGCCCACGTTTTGCAACATGGACATGTGGACATGCTGGCTATGGACTTCAGACTCATCCGACTGGTAATGGGACTTTTGTTGTTGACCCACACTGGTTATAAACTGGATACCTGGATTATATGTCCCACCGCGAATGCAAGCGACCAGAAAAACAAGAAATGACACACTGAGGTTGCCAAGACTTTCACAACGTGTAAAGCCCACTGCCCTCCCCACGACTGTCGCCGGCTGGGGACACAGCACGTACATACGCGGGGCCACTGCCGCTGAGCCCCGTTACGGCATCGATCAGGTCCTCTTCCACCTCGGTGCAGAAGCCAACGCTGGCCATCAGTTGTTCCAAGAGCTTCCCATCCTCCACATCCGCGTGAGTCCCAGTGGCATAGACTGTAGCACCTTCCCGGACGATCACAGGGGTGTTGGTCATGCACCTGATCACTTTTGGTGTGGGGCAGAAGGTAGAAAGTTTCTTAGGGCAGAAGATTATTGGAGAGACAGAGAGAGAGAGAGAGACATGAGCTTTAGTGCGTATTTGTTGTACCAAACAGGCTGTCTAGGAAGGGGCTCTCCAGGAAGGGGCTCTCCAGGGGCAAGAACAACACAAGGAGAGGGAAAAGTGAGACTCCTGTATTCTAAACTCCCTGCTCTGAGCCAAAGCAGCCAGAATTTCAACATGAAGTCCTTGGTGGTACCAGCAAATAGGAAGCTGGACCGAGCTGCTGTTGGGAGCAACACCCTGAACACCTTGTTCCATACCGACTCAGGAATCTCCAAAACAGCTCGTGCAGACACTTTAGCACCAAAGTCTGCAGAAATTCAGGGGAGATGGCCCACCTCTGTTGAGAGAGAAAAGATCCAATGGTCCCTGGTGTAATGGAAGAGCTGGCATAGGGACTCCTACAGCTTGTTGTGGCGAGTGAGGACAGGCAGAGCCAGCCACCAGCGGGCTGTGGCATGAATTCCATTCCCGGGGAGCAGAGGTAACGCCTGTCCCTCCTTCCTGGGGGGCTGGAGGACGGGACGGGGTCTGGGACGCTCCTGCCCTGCGGCAGCCCCCTCCCAGGCACCGGGTGTCACCGCGGTGGGCTCCGGCCACCCCTCACCTTCTCGATGGAGTTGATGGTGACACCGGCCGCGCAGGAAACGACGATGTGGCGGGGTTCAATGTCGGGCCCCACCTCCTCCAGGATGAAGGGGATGATGGGGGGCTTCACGGCCAGGAAAAGGACGTCGCTGTTCTTCACCGTGTCCTTGTTGCTCACGGTGAAGTTCACGCCCATTTTCTGCAGCGGTTGGGGGACAAACGGGACCGCTGTGACCGGGACGGCCCGCGATGGGGAGGGGGGGGTGGGGGGTCGCCGCCGCCCCCCCGCCCTGACTCACCCGTAGCCCGCTGACGGTGGGCAGGTCGGTGTCCGGGGAGCTCGCCGTGATCTTATGCGCGGCCAGGACCCCTGCGAACGGCACCGCGCGTCACACCGGGCGGCTCGGCTCCCTCCGACCCCCCTCCCTATCCCCCCCCCGCGCCCCGGTACCCGGGCCCACCTGCCGCCGTGAAGCCCCTGGCCAGGGCGAAGGCGAGTTGCCCGGCCCCGATGAACCCTACGCTCATGGCGGTGCGAGGCGGGGGCGGTGCGGCCCCCCGCCACTCAGGGGCGAGGGGCGGGGCCACCGGCGCGGCCCTCGCCAGCTATTGGGGCAACCGGCGCGGAGTGTTGCATCATTCAGCGCTGAGGGGGCTCCCCGCCGCCCCGCGCCGCCAGGGGGCGCTGTCCGCCCGCCGCTCCGCCGGCCGGCGGAGCCCGCCATTCTGGAAGGTTCGGTGGGCGCCGCCGTGAGGGCCCGGCCCGGCCCGGCCCGGCCGCCGATCCCAGCCCCCGGGGCTCCGGTGGTGGCCTTCCGCCCCGGTGCTCCTGTTCGCGGAGCTCCTCGCCCCCGGGAGAGGCCCCCGAGCGGTTCTGCTCCTCCAGAGCATCACCCGGGCCCCGAGTCACCGACGGGCATCGCCGGTGGGTGCCCGGCCTGAACCACGTCCCTGCCCGGGCCGGTGCTGACCCCTGGGGGGGGCGGTGCTGCCTGGGATGGGCCGGTGTGGAACGGGTCCCGTGAAAACCGGGCATTGGGAACTGCTTGTGAGCATACGTGTGATCTTAACGCAGGATCCATGGGGTCGGAAAGGACCTCTGGAGATCATCTCCTCCAACCCCCTGCCAGAGCAGGGCCACCCAGAGCAGGTCCCACAGGGACGTGTCCAGGTGGGATCTGAATGTCTCCAGAGAAGGAGACTCCACCACCTCCCTGGGCAGCCTCTTCCAGGGCTCTGCCACCCTCACAGCAAAGAAGTTCCTCCTCATGTTGAGATGGAACTTCTTATGGTCAAGTTGGTGCCCATTTCCACTTGTCCTGTCCCTGGGCACCACTGGAAAAAGACTGGCCCCATCCTCCTGATACCCACCCTTTAAGTATTTACAGGTGTTGATCAGATCCCCCCTCAGCCTTCTCTTCTCCAAACTAAAAAAGACTCAAGTCCCTCAGCCTTTCCTCAGCAGAGAGATGCTCCAGGCCCCTCATCATCTTTGTAGCCCTCTGCTGTCCCCTCTCCAGCAGTTCCCTGTCCTTCTGGAACTGGGGAGCCCAGAACTGGTCCCAGTGCTCCAGATGGGGTCTTCCATGGCAGAGCAGAGGGGCAGGATGACCTCCCTCCACCTGCTGCTCACACTCTTCCTGATGCTCCCCAGGATGCCAGTGGCCTTCTTGGCCACACACACAACACACCGCTTTCTTTTTCTTCTTTTCTTTTCCCTCCTCTCTGGCTCTTTTCTTACTCCTTTATCGACATCAATAAATCTCACTGTGTCTTCTGCAGAGGAATGTTCCTAAATATTGTCTTTTTGGGACACGGAGTCCCAGTCTTCAGAGAAGACCCAGAGGAAAAAAAAAAACGAAAAAAGAACCAAACCAAACCCCAACATGTTAAAGATTCAGGTTATACATGTGTGTGTGTATGTACATACCTTTTGGGTTAGAATCCACCAGGAGCTGTCTAGATGGTTGCAAACACAAATCCATAATTCTAGACAAATGCCTGCACGTTCTGACATTGGTTTACCACAAAAGTTGAGGCTGGTTGGTGACAATATGGCAGAAGGCGAGTTACGTGATATATTAATTAAGGGAAAGACAAGATCTGGAAATAAAGGGGGTTTTAATTAACTGAATCATGACAGGGTTGGTTGTTAAAACCATATTAAGCAGATATCGGATGTTCTCTGTCCTAGATTGGGTAATCTCATAGTTTCCACTGGTTAGTGAGTGTTTTAACCACTGAAGCATGAGGTTTTGATTTTTTTTTTTTTTTTCCCCTCCTAAAAGAGTAGATTGTTGTCCACACAATCTTTTTTTTTTTTTTTTGCCAGTTTGACCATGCTAACATTTTTTGCTCAGTCTTTGGCTGGCAGATGAGAAAGCTAAATCTGAACACGCTGTTCTTGGCAATGGCTTGTCTTTCCACTCCTCCAGTCAGTGGGATCATGATTTCCATGTTAAATTCGATTCCCTCCTTATTCTGAAGGCGCCACATTTCACCCCCATTGTTTCCCAGTTACCTGTTTCTGTTGGGCCTTTGTTTACGTCCCCAGCACTGCATAAATTGCATCAACTTGTGTCATTAGCAGATTTTATCATATTCCTGCTAATTGCTCCTACTTGTGGCTGAAGAAGCATGAGGAGCTTCTGACAGAACCCCCTGCCCGAACGACGTGGCATTGTCCCCAGGAGCCGTCCCTGGTGTCCCCCAGCCCCTCGGAGCCCCCTCGGGAAGGGTCTCCTATAGAGCAACATTCCCGGGTTTGCCAGGTTGAATTTAATAGCAGAATCCATGCTGGTTCGCAGTCACCTATTTGATATTTAGTGCTCTGTAATAATAATAAGTAATTTTCAAGCGTGACACAGCTTAATTTGCCCAGGTCGACGGGTTTAAAAAGAATATATCATAAATGCTCAAGGTTACTTTTGCGTGCGGTGCCTCTTTGTACAACACCTCCTGCAATAGGAAAAGATTTATTTTCCCCGAGTTCCCATTTCTTATTTGTAGAACCCCTTAATTTGTTCAGGTGGCAAGAAATAGAGCTCTCTAATACCCCATTTTATATCTGTAGCAGACAGTCTTGGGTCTTGCCCTGGGATGAGCTGGGCGGCCTCTTGGACCGTTACCGTCCAGGCTTGCTGTCCTTAACGGGGACGTGCAGGAGAGAAGAACCCTTGGAAAGCTGTTCCCCCCTTGGGTTGCTGTTTTTTCTCCCTTTGGGAGGTTATTTCCCACCCTTGGGAGGTTGTTTTCCCCCCTCAGGAGGCTGGTGTCCACATTCCCTTTATACTGGATGCTGATTCTTGACCTGTTTCACAGGCTTACAATTCCCACTGCTAAAGGTTGGTTCTTAACTCAGTAGCAGAATTGTTCAACGCCATCTGTCCCAACAATTTTTCCTTTTGCTTTTCAAACCCCGTACAAAGCACCGATGAAAAATAGGTTGCCTTCCTGTTTCCTGAGCGACTCTACTACAAAGAATGTCAGTCAGGGGTCTCGGCCGTCTTGTCCATATACTTTTTTGGGGCTGCGTTCAGGCTTCATACATGAAAATAGACTGACCTGTGCTTCCCAGCAGAAAGCCGAAGGGCTGTGCCTGGTGAAACAGAAGCTGTGTGGAGAGCAAGATGAAAGTACACAAACCTCTGGAGATGGAGCATGTGGGTCTGCCGCTCGGCTTTATTTTAACTGGGTTAAAAAATAAACCTCGCTTCTGACAGGCAGCTACTTCAGATTTTAATCAAACCTCTCCCGCCCGCATGCTTTCTGCGCAAGTACTCGGAGTGCTTTGGTTTCTCCCTGGATCAGAAATGAAGAACATTTCTCCCTATTAAGCTTGAAATCTGAGCTATGCGATGTGGGACTTCAAAGGGGTGTTTTGTCAGGGATGGGCCAGAGAAATGCAGCTCGTGGGTGACGCAGAGAGCTCGGGAATCCTCACGCCCGCTCCGCTGCCAGGCAGCCCTCACACTTCGTCTCTATTCTACACCAGTTTTGTCACCATCCTACACAAGTTTTGTCCTATCTGTGTCCCACCCCCCACCCCCAGGTTTGGTCTTTTACGCAGAGCTGAGAGATCTATCAATCTCTGTGTCCCTCCCTCCCTCTCCCCCAGAATTTTTCTCTAAGCTCGCAGAAAAAAGAATTATTGACAGCAGCGTAAAGAGCCGGTGGCACGTGAACCGAGACAAGGCACGTGCCAAGGTGCCGTCTGGTCCCGCCGGAGCGAGGATGTCAAGTTACACACGGTTATTTTGTGGTCTGTCTCTGTTCTGCACCCTGTTTCTTGGCAGCAGAGCCCCCAATTTCGCAAATTTTCATTTCTGTAGTGACTCAGTGTTTGCTGAATAAGAATATCCCCTGCTTTCCCCCAAGGTGCATGCCCAAGGATATTCTTTTTCTGTGCTAAACAGTGAGGGAGAGGAGAGGGAGGGAAAGGAGTGGTAATCTTCAAAATACTATTACAGCTATGCTGTTCTTCTCAGAAACATCCTGCCTGGAATTTCCCACACTTGCAAGCATTTCACATCTCACCACACAGCCCAAACTAACCCAAACTCCGAGGGATTGTTTTTCATCCCCAGAACTGCTGTTCCTTGATGCAGCTTTTAACTTTCCCACTTCCTGGGTAGTCACTTGATTACGGTTAAGTGTTTGGTAAGAGTTTCAAAACCCTCGGTGTCTTTCCTAATATTTGGCTCGGCGATGCCCATCGCCTGCAGCCCCGCTGTTGCGGCGACCGTTCCTGTGGCCCGGGGGACGAAAGGCCATTTTGCACACTCTGAGCTGCAGATTCTCTGCTCTGGCACTGGGAGGCTGAGGCAGATGTTGGATGATGGGAGGATGTGGGCTTTTTTTCCAGCATCAGCTCCAGCCACGGGTCATTAATTTGCTGGTCCAGTCAGTCTTGGCCTCGAAGTTTGGTTGGTGGCTCTTGCGTGCGTTCCCTTCCCCGTGTCCCCGATGACGGTCCCTCGGGGCGCCGGGGCGGCCGAGCCGCAGCTCAGATGTGTGAGATGAAGCGGATGCGCTGGGAGTAGGCCAGGTCTACCACGTAGAGCAGCAGGTTGACGTAGGTGAAGATGGCAACCACCAGCTGGCTGTCCCAGGGACACTTGCCCTTGGCACAGAGGCCAGGGCGCCGGGGGGAGCCGTACTTGCTGTCGAAGCAGAACACGGGCCAGATGACGGCGGCGCTGACGTAGAGCAGCACGGCCCCGAAGGTGTAGATGACCACAGAGCGCTCGAAGGGGAACCACGGCAAGGCCGTCTTACCTGTGACGCTGAAGGCCACCACCACCACCGTCACCACGAAGCAGAAGCTGTAGACGGCCACGCACCACTGCGTGGCCACGTATTTGCCGTACTGGCTGTCGTTCACCAGTGCCCCAAAGATGATGCAGGCCACGAAGGCCTGCACGATTTTCAGGAGCCCCGAGATGGTGGCCATGTAGCTGGTGACTTGTCCCGGTTTTGCCCGGGTTAAGAAGACCTCGGTGGCGTAGGCGAAGAAGAGGAGGCCGGCAAAGACGCTGGCGGCGATGCGGAAGTCTCTCACCTCGCAGCCGATGGGGTAGCACTCCAGCTGGACGAAGTAGAGTGGGTAGATCACCGCCGCCGTGACGGACATGAGGGTGGCGAGCATGGCGAAAGCGGCCGTGAAGTTCCCCCAGGAGATGCTCAGGCAGCTGTGCAGGTGCGTGAATTCGCAGGTGACGACGAAGACGGTGACAGCGAAGCAGAAGGTCCAGACAAACATGCAGAAGGTGCCGTAGGCGGCGCTGAATCCCCCCTGGTGGGCCACCAGGCTGAAGGTAGCGCATCCAAACGTCATCTGCAGCAGACGAGCTATTCCCACGGGGGATGTCACCGCAGCCGTGTTCAGATACGGCCCTCCCGTGCTCTCCATCATCTTTCCAGCCCAGCAGACAGTTTGCAGTTAAAGCCTCCCCCCCCACCACCTCCCAAGATGTCCTTTCGGGGTTTTGCTGCTTTGCCCTGAGTCACACCAGGTGCTGGAGAAGCAGAGCAGCAGCTCGAATCCCCGCCTCGTCTCTCCCGGTGCCGGAGGTGCTGCCTGTGACGCTGAGTCTGCGTTTCTGGCCGCCTCTCAGCACAGACTTGCTGGCTGAGGGATGTTACGGCTGGCTCTGCCCACTGGCTGCCACCTCAGGGTGCTGCCATCGGCTCCCTCCGCTCTCCAGGGTCCAAGACCGGCTCCAAGGTCTGTCCTCTCATCGTCTCCTTTCCTGCATGATGGCCGAAAGGATTGCCGTCTCCCTGCCGGCTGACATTGATTCCATTTTAGCTCTGCAGCTGTAGCTCTCCGTGCACTGGTCGCAGGAGCCCAGGAGTATAAATAGGGGCTATATTAATAGTTCTGGAATGAGTCCTGCCCCCCTCAACTGCCGTGAGCGGGTGTTATTTAACACTGAAGCTACGAGCCCCATCAGAGGCTCCTGATGATCCTGCTGCTGCTCCTCCGGCAGCGCAGGGGTCCCTGGACACTGCTCTTCTCCCGGAGCTGCCCCTCGGTGGGGGGAATCAGGCTGGGGACCAGCCATGCCATGGGGACAGGAGCTCGGTCCTGCAGACCCCAGTCCCCCTGAGTGTGAAGCCCGAAGGCATCACGAGCCCTGTAAAAAGATTCAGGCCAGAGGCTACAATAAAAGCTGACTCACTTTGCTGCATTTCATCTGGAGCAGTGATATATTTACCTGCTGTGAAAGGCCCTGCTGTGCTCTGAGCGTCAGGGACAGCGTGTGGCTGGGAAGATTTTGAGCACCGGTCCTCCCTGTCTCCTTAAATTCTTCCATATCTCGGTTTGACTTATACAGGAACCAGTTATTCTTGTATCTCAGAAAGCCAAACCAAAATACAATTGTAAAACAAATGGCTTTGATATTCTTAGCTCTGATTTGGAGCACAGATTTCAATATATAGTGTCAAACCCTCCTTCCTGTTGGCTCAAAGCTTTCCCAGGTAGCCATTTTTGGTATACGTTTCCCCAGACTTGGCCTCTCCCCAAAAGTCTCTTAATTCTTACTCTAAAAGCCCCGAAGAAAATTTCTGATGTAGTTTCAGAATGGGTAAAAATTTAAAACACAACATAGTAGAAAAATTCCTCCATTACCTCACGGCAGCACTGCTGACTCCTCAGTGTCAGACCAGTTCTCCCCGTGCTGGTCCCAGTACGGACACAGGGTGGTCCAGGAGCTGTGGGGGGCTTCAGGGAGCAGCCTGACCTGGGGGGGCAAGCCCAGCCCGGAGCCCTAAAACCCTGCTGAGTGGTCCAAGGTGGGTGTCAGCTGTGCTGATAAAGTCTGTAATGTCCTAACGACCCTCATGTTTGCTAACAATAATAATTGCTTAATACAATTGCTTTTTAGTTGTATGCTAATGTCATGATGAGACACCTACCAATGAATCACCACATGCAGTGCAGATACTGTAATGAAGAGCTGACAAAAAAGTATCTGCTCCGCTCCTGTTTGTGACCTTGGCCCATGGTTCTGGGGCAGCTGGGGTTTGTCCAGTGAAGGATGGTGCTGCCCCTTCTCCTGTCACTGTCACAGAATCACAGAATCATACGGGGTTGGAAGGGATCTCTGGAGATCATCTCCTCCAACCCCCTGCCAGATCAGGGCCACCCAGAGCAGGTTGCACAGGAACATGTCCAGGAGGGATTTGAATGTCTCCAGAGATGGAGACTCCACCACCTCTCTGGGCAGCCTGCTCCAGGGCTCTGCCACCCTCAAAGTAAAGAAGTTCCTCCTCATGTTTAGGTGGAACTTCTTATGGTCAAGTTTGTGCCTGTTACCTGTGGGGCACCACTGAGAAAAGACTGGCCCCATCCTCTTAACACCCACCCTTTAAGTATTTATAAGCGTTGATCAGATCCCCCCTCAGTCTTCTCCAGAATAAAAAGACTCAAGTCCCTCAGCCTTTCCTCCTAAGAGAGATGTTCTAGACCCCTCATCATCTTTGTAGCCCTAAAATCATAACCCTCCCTTGTGCTGTGGATGGGGATTTGGGGACCTCAGGCAGCTGAAAGCCCCCATCCCCGTGAAGAACACCCATTCCCAGTGATCTGCTGCCAGCAAGGTCTGCTGGGACCAGCGCTGGTGGGACCCAGCTGGGACCTCACTGCGGCAGCATGTTCTGCTGGGACGTGTGGCTTCACGGAGCCCCTGCTTGGACACGGGGGGCTTCGGAGGCGATGGAGCGGGTCTGGTTCCCACCCTCCTCCCTCACTCTCACACGTCTTGCTAACACGGCTGCTCTGTGAGCCAGATCAGGGCACGGATCTCAGATTTAAAAAAAGGGCAGCAGCAAACTTGCACCTGACAGGGATTATTTTTAAGCTGGAGGCGTCACTGGTGCAGAGCAGACGTGCACGGGTGGCAGCGACAAACGGGGCCAGGACAGGAACTATTGAAGTTGGTGTCGCTGCTGAAAGTCCCTTGTGATCCAGCTGTGGCTCAGGACAAGAGACAGACGGAGGTGGACACGGGCTGCAGTGCTCCTGCAGCTCCCCGTCAGGGTTTTGGAGGGTCCGTGGAATGATTCGCATGAGAACACTACAGCTTGGTGCCTACCTTCAGCTGTGTCACCATCTTGTAACCTCAGCGTCCCTTTCACGAAAATCCCTCCCATTTTCCTGAAAAAGACCTCTGGTGCTAAAGGTAGAAAACCTGCATTCTTTTGGGGTGGAAGGTGCACAATTAACATCACAACAACCAGGAAATGCAGGGAGAGCCAAGCAGCTCCAGGTGAAGGTGCTCTCACCCTCTGGCCTGGCCCCTCCTGACTCTCTCTGATGTTAATCCTTCACCTCTAGCCAAAGACAATTTTTCCCTCTCAGAGAGAAAGTATCTCACCTGGTTACGAGATCTGAGTGTACAACACATTGTACTGTTTTTTTCCAGTCTTGCCCTTTTTGCCACTGGCTTCCACACAGCAGATGCCACTGGGGATGAACTTAGAAGTGCCAGTTTTACAAAGGCTTGGGAAAATGATATTTATTGCACAAGTACAAGAAGAAGTATAGAGCTGGATGTGACTTCCTGGGTTACAGATTCCAGTTTCCAGTTACGACTTGCAATCATATGGTATAATTTTTCTAATAAAATTAGCCAAGTTCCCCTTTAAAAATATTTCTGAGACATTTTAAAAGACTGTTGCAGTGGTGCACTAAGTGAAAAGAGTGATCCCCAACTCCCAGGGCTTTTTTTTTTCCTGTGCTTGCAAGGAAATTATCTCCTCCAAACAGTCTCTGACTTTTAGAAACCAACCTTTGAATTAATGTTTGAGATTTAGAATTAAATTTACCTGCATACATGTAACCAGCTCTGCAAAAAGCATTCCAAACTTCAAGGGTGGCATTTACACTTTACTGTTTCCCAGTAGAAATACGTCGCTGGACACAGCCCAGGGCACTGGCCGTGTCTCCGGGTCCGTCACCTCCTGTACCATCACCCTGCCAGGAACTGATGCCCAGCAGCTCCCTGGGTGCTCCCAGCTGGTGAACTGGTGCCCAGCAGGAATTCCAGCCGCTGCTCGAGTACCAGCACTTTGACTCCACCTGACTCCAGCTCTCAAAGGGATCCCATCCTCCTGGATGCTTTTCCAAGTGCTGTCTGTGCTGCAGAAGCCTCTTAACTTGGTGGCGTGAAAAATGTTATCAGAACAATTTTACTTTTATACCCAAGTCATTAAAACATAAAGGATATCAGGAACCCCTAGGTTGTCCTTATGGAAACTCCACTGGTAGTTTTCCTACATTCCAGCTCTGCTGGGAGCACGATTTGGTTTCTCTTTAGCTACTTTTTTATCTTAAACATTTACTAAACCCACCTGGTACAGCCGGATCTCCTATCTGGCACCACCCGGCTGCTGAAGCCCAGGAAAAGTAACCGAATGGCCGCAGTTTTGTTCCATTTTTGGTTTTACTCACCTAAGACAATGGATGCTACAAACACCGTTACCCTTTTAACCTGGCAAGACCTATCCTGAAAGTGCATGGAATTCTTCTAAAATTATCCCCTAATTTTCTGCAGCCTAACACATTGTAAAAACCCGCACGGGTTTCCCTGCGGCAGCTGCACACGGGGCAGCATGAAGCCCTTTCCCCACTGAGGACAGTTCTTCTGCTCCCTCCAGCTTGGACCAGGTGTTCCCAATCCCTCCCACCTTCTCCTCCCATCACCACCAACGGGGACTCTCTGCTCGGAGGTGGGTGCGTTCGCACACGACTGGAGGGATAAAAATATGTTGGTGCTCGTCTTGTGTTCTCTGCCTTTTTTCTTCCAAGTGCTCCCCAGTCTAAGATGAGCAAGACGGTCTCATCAAACACTTCTCTCACTAGAAGAGAGGCCTTCGCTGCAAAAAACAGATCTCCCCGCATCTTAAAATGCCCTGCACACCTGGGAAATCACAGTTTTCAAGCTGAAAACGCCGTGCGAGGACGCAAACATCAACGCTGGGTGAAAATCTCTGTACTTAGACCTCGTTTTACAACCTCTCGTCAGAGCAACAAGGACAAAGCGAACTGCAAGGGGAACACAAAAGTCTAATTATTACAAAACGTCAATACCACCCTCAGCCCCCTCCCAGGCACAAGTGATCACAAGGATAACCCATCCAAATGAGCAGCATATACAACTTTACAAAGACATATGTATGGTTCTCTGGTCAGCCCTTATAAATAGCGTTTTACATATTAAAATAAATATGTCCACGTTGCCAAAGTAGCAAGAGGTTTCTTCGTTATTTAAAAAAAATATGTTACAAAACAATATCATTTATATTTCTTGCTTAGTTTTAAAAAAAAAAAGTAATAAAAAAGTCATTTTATAAAATAATAGGAAAGTAAATTGAGTACAAGAGTGTCCATCCCTAGCACGTGTCCTGGGTTTGTACGTTTTGACTCATCGTGAGATGCTGACCTCCAGGAAGTCGTGTAACCGTTCCTTCACTTCTAGTTGGACAAAAAAAATCCAGTGCTTGCTTTTTTTTTTTTTCCACCACTTGTATCAAGTCCATGATGTAAAACTCGTGGCAAGGGAAGAAGTCCTAGATCTGGGGAAGGTTCTCATTGCTGCTATTTATGGCTTTGCTACTCCCTGTATCAGATCGCCTTGTGTAACGCAGGATGTGAACGGCCAAAACTGAGCCCTGGTGTCTGGAGGCAACGAGTTCCAGTCAAATAGTGTAAGCAAGAAATCATCGCCTTTGCTTTTTTTCTTTTTTTTTTTTCTTTTTTTTTTTCCTTGACACATCCTAAGTGTGCGAGAGTGTGGGAGCACGTGGGTTGTACAGGTGTGAGCATGCGTGGGTGTGAGCGTGCGTCTGCCTGCATGAGCGTAAGGAAGAAGATTAGGAAGTGTGGGAGAAGGGCTTGGAGTCTCCCCCCAATCTCATCGCTCTGCCCCTCTGCAGCCCCCTTCCTAGTTACCGCTGCTGAGCATCCCCAGGAGTTTGCTGGGCTCCAGGCCCTGCTGCTGTGCCATCTTCTGAACGTCGAAGCCCATGTGCATGAGGAACTGGATGACGTTCATCTCCTGCCCCGTGAACTGGTCCCTGATGGTGGGGCAGGAGGGGTTGCAGTGGGGCCATGGGCAGCTGTCGATCAGGTGGATGGGGCAGCCTTTCAGAGGGTTTTTTTTTTTTTCTTTTTTTTTTTCCTTGACACATCCTAAGTGTGCGAGAGTGTGGGAGCACGTGGGTTGTACAGGTGTGAGCATGCGTGGGTGTGAGCGTGCGTCTGCCTGCATGAGCGTAAGGAAGAAGATTAGGAAGTGTGGGAGAAGGGCTTGGAGTCTCCCCCCAATCTCATCGCTCTGCCCCTCTGCAGCCCCCTTCCTAGTTACCGCTGCTGAGCATCCCCAGGAGTTTGCTGGGCTCCAGGCCCTGCTGCTGTGCCATCTTCTGAACGTCGAAGCCCATGTGCATGAGGAACTGGATGACGTTCATCTCCTGCCCCGTGAACTGGTCCCTGATGGTGGGGCAGGAGGGGTTGCAGTGGGGCCACGGGCAGCTGTCGATCAGGTGGATGGGGCAGCCTTTCAGAGGGGCTTTCCCATTTTTGTTGCTCTCGTGGAGGCTCCGATCCCAACAGTGCAAGGCCCGGGGTAACGACGTCCCCTTCACCTGGATGTCCGTCCAGTGGCTGCAAAGACAAACCCCACAGACGGTGTCAGGGGCTGGGCTGACCAACGGGCTCCTTCCCCTCCCACTCTCCCCATTGACCTTGCACAGAATCTGCAAAATCACTCACTTGCGTGTAATGATCTCATGAGACAAACAGGCAGGAGCAAAGCTAGCGCTAAAGGGAAAAAGGAAACAAGGATTAGGTCTTGGAAGGACAAAGTACCTCCTGCTAAATAGAACCTTCCGGACTAGGTAGAGGGTGGAATTTTTACTGCCCCTGGCAAGGTTTTTAGAAACAGCAATGGCTATCGTGATATAAAACTGGACTGGAAAATATCCAGAAGAAAAGGAGCTTTCCTAACAGAACAAGAGACAAGAGACTCCTGAACGCACGAACCAAGTAAGGCACATTAACGGCTCCTCCTCTGCCCTCTTGTCCACTCTTTGGATATTTTACAATCAGCACTTTTTAAAACATCCCTGTGAGGCTGAAGGCTGTGCAACAGCAAGGAGGCTCAGACCTCGCCTTGGAGGTAGGAAAGAAAAATCCACCTTCCTATCAATAACAAAGGGCAGCTGATAATTGGAAAGCTGAAAATTACTTTGCACTTACCCAGAAATGAAAAAGGCAAGATTCTTGATGAAGACTAACTAATAGCTACCAAATTTACAACATCCATTTCTGCAGAGATCTGAGAAATGCTGCTAGGATACCGGATGGGAATGTGTCTCATAAATAAACGTGCCGGGTTTTCCTCAATGAAATACTTACGTCACATCTTTCAAGGTGTTTCTCAGCTCCCTACCCAGATTTTGGATGTAGAGCCACTGCCCCTCCTGAACAGGCTGGCCAGTGAGGTGCACGTTGTCTACAGTAAGCTGGGCCTCATCAAAGAGCCACTGGACAACAAAGACAGGACCTAGGGAGACAAAGAAAATTGGAAAAGGGAATTGCTCTAAGTTAGCTACGGATAGAGAGGAAACCCTAGAATACGTTTCATGTCTCTCCTTTGATCCTTACATCGAAGAGTGGGGTAAATCTTGTATCCAAAAAAGCAGTTCCACTCCTCTCCCTCTTTAAACTGCAGCTTACAGCGTTCGGGTACGATACCGTTCCAGTACCTACAGGACACAGCAGTAACAGAACCAAGGTCACAGCACAGTCTGAACAGCAGCCTTTTCATATCCCGGGCTGTTTCTGTTCTGGTTACAGTTTCAACTTAACTGAGCAGAGTTCTTTCTTGGATACTTTGTCCCATAAACACATTTTAGAGCATCTACAACTGAAGGCTTTCTTTTGCATGTCTAGATTTTAAATTATTGCCTTTTCCAATAAACCCATTGAAAAAAACCACTGATGCAGATGTTAAATATTCTTTAAGTATCAAAATGAAGAAGATAGAGAGGGAGGACATCTTTTCCACACTCTAACCTCTTATAAAACTGCACTTTAGAGCATCTGACCGTACCTTATTCCTCTTCTGATGGCTTCTGTTGGAGCGCACGTTATGGTGTCAATACAGTCGGTTCTGCGATACTGTTTATTATCCAGGAACCATCCGGAGTCTGCCAAACCTCGAACCTGAATCCCTTGGTAACCCATCTCCTCCAGCTGCTCTGCCACTCGGTCCACGTTGAGGAGCACTCCCGTCCCTCCAGCACTGCAACGGCAACGTGCACGCTGCAGCCACAGCACACACCAGCCTCGCACGCGTATCCTCACACGTGTGTCCTCCCACAGCAGTGACAACCTCCCCTACCCACAGCACTACCCACTTCTGGGTGGCAGCCACCGAGTTATTTCTTTGCTTTGCAGAACAGTCAGAAATAAAGCCAGTGCTGAGTAACAGCCCGATACCTCAGAAACCAATATATATGGGAAATACTTATGCTTTACATCATTTGCAAGGGGTTTGGCTGCTCAAAACACAAAAGAACCTGAAGTGAGACAAATTCACCCTCTGGAATTTCTATAACACACTCCTGTGCAACACACGCTGAGGGTACCACAGCTTCCTGCAACACACCATGATCTGGGGCACCTGCATCAAGCAAGTGTGATTTTTCCATTCGGATGTCCCCAATCTGCTCACAAGAGGAATGTGTCTCAGGGTGTGGGCCAACAGGAGCCAGCATTCTTGATGCAGGGAAGAATGAACACATTCCCTCCCTCTTGAAAAGCTTTTACCCCCTAGAAGAAGTTTTTCAGGGTCTGCTGAGGCTTCCTCCCTAGCAGCTTCCTACTGTGGAGATCTCCTGTCCTCACCATAGGAGATCTCATCAATACCTACCTGCTCCCTGCAAGCAGCAGCACCTTTGCAGTGCTAAGACCTTTTCCCACCAGCTCCTTTATAACCTCCTGGATGATCAGGGCTCCCATGAAGGCATATTCATCTGGAAGAGAAAGCTCAGTGTCAACAAAACTCTTTCCTGCCCAGGCTAAGACTTCTGTTTCCTCTCCACAAATGCTTAAGAACTTTATGAAGGGATCATGAACCGAAAACCAGCCCGTTTCTCCACCTGTATCAAGCACATCCAACAAGAGACACTCCCACCCATACAAAACACATTTCCCTGAGAAAGACTAAGCAGAAAGCGCTGAGAATACACAGAAACACAAGGACAGGACCTTCCTACAGCAGGGCTCAGGAACTGGTAATCTCGGACAAGGAAAGCAAGAGCAGAGGAAGGCGCTGGGACCGTTCCTTGATACGTGAGGAACACGCACACCTTCCTACCACCCAGGATCTCAGTTCCAACTCACTGTACCCCCTTTTCCCCCAGGGTCATAAAGCCCATTCAGAAGAGCAAGGTCTCACAAAACGTTACACCCACACAGACCTCCTTGGCACCACCAGAAGGCACCAGGTGGTGCTGAGGTGTAGCTGCTTCATGGGAACAAGCCTGAGAAGGTTCGATGAAGTGGAAAGGTCCCTTTGCTGTGACAAAAGTGTACCCGTGGCACCCACGGGTGGTCAGTTGCTCAATGCAAGAATTAGTGAAAGAGCCACCGAGGGACTCAGTATCTGGTTTAAGGCCAGAACTCACAGACCAACTCAAAGAAAAGCGTTAACCTTCTGCCTTTTCAGTGTCACACCATGGAGCATCTTGGGCTCACAGCAGCATACATCAACACCAATTCCATTCTGGTCAAAGACAACCTTTCACGAGCAAAGGAGAGGAGAACTAAGCCCCTGGTGTTTCTGTAGACACTACTGCACCCAGACACCAAAACCGCTTAAACTGGGAAACCCCAGAGAAGCACAAAATAGAGCAATTCATTGGCATAAAATCCAGCTTAGTTGGGAAGAACACTCCTCTAAGCAGACTCCCAGAGCTCCATCATCATCAAAATGACAGCCGATGGCAATGCATGTACCAAGGTGAACTATTCTTCATTCCCCAAAGAAGCCTGCAGACAGCTCCAGCCTGACACGCCATGGCTCCTGTCAAAGGCCAAAGTCACACGTAACAAACCAGGGCTCCTCAGCTACACCGTTTAATTTGCCCTTGTGCTGGAACCTGGAGATTCATCTAAAAGGAATTTGGTTCCTCTAATCCTCGCATACTGCCCCAGTGTAACAGCTCTGCGCGCGGTGGCTCTGAACTATGTCAGAACAGCCCGAGCTAAAGAGATCAGGATGTTTTATCTGGAAGTAGCTTGATATTCTTTCCTGCCCTTCAGCAAGAAAAAGCCTGTTCTTCATTCACGTAATTTCACAGAAGTCTGGCCACATCCTTTAATGTGTGATGTCTGGGGCAGCAACAGCCCATCAGCAACACTCACTTTTCTCAGACTTGGAAGAGGCACCGCTCCAAACATCACTTGAGCAATAAGGGATGAATCTGTAAGAGAGAGCTGTGTGAGCACTGATGTTCCTTTGACACGCAAGGAGGGGTGAGGATGGGGGCAAGGAACCGAAGAAATTAAACCCTGGGGAGGGGAAAAGGGAAGAGTTTCTCGTCCAGTTAAACAACTTACCTTCTTGCACACCAAGTGACAATTACAACTGCCTGGACTTTTCTGGTAGTTTTACTGGGTCAAATCAATAAATAACGTGTCTTTTATCAATCTAATTGAAGCACTGAGCTCAGAACAACGGGCCAAGATTTTGCTCTCAGCTGCCCCTCTGCTGTGGGGGATGGCCTGCCACAGCCAGCTCTCCGTGCTTCAGTTTTTCACATGAAAAACAAGAAAACTTTCTCAATGCAGCATAAAGGCTGACTGCAATCACTGGAGGGTTTTGCAGGGATGAAATTATCTTCCCATTTTTGTCTCCAGCTTGCAGAACGCACATTAACATCCCTCTCTCCTGCTTTTCCCTCCTATATAGATGTGTACATGAACTGGTGTCTTTCTCATTTCTCTTCTTTGAGCTACAGGCTCTGCTCCACGTTCTCCCTCCAATTGGCAAACGTGTCACCTACCATCAGCCCACCACACACAACAGGATTTGCCACTTCAGCTCTTTGAGAAGGCTCCCTGAGCTTCCCCCAGTTTGTCTCCATTAGACCACCCCACAACTCCAAGGAGACCGGGCTAAAGTTTCTCCAGATCAGTGCTGTTTTGTTAGAGCTGAACTAGAACAAATGAGGGAACGTTCGATTCCCTCTCGCGAGTGCTAGCCTTAATCTTTGTAGCAGGAGAAGCTGTTGAAGTACAACCCTGTTTCCCCTCCTCGTTCCCTCCTTACACCATGTTTGCGTTCCACCAGTGGGGGTTTTCTTCTGGCTGTGACGACAGGATCCCGGTTCCTGTGGAAGGGCACAAAGAAACAAGGAATGTACAGATGAGTCTGAGACCTCAGAGAAACCGTACGAGCCTCACGCGGGACCTCCAACCACAAAGAACACAAACATCCACGATAACAAACATCAGTGAGGGAAGCGGAAGGAACATTTCAGAATTTGGTTCACGCTTCGAGATGAAGCCCATCGAGGAGCCTCTTGTACAGAGAAGAAGTTGTGGCACATGCTTAAAAATGAAGCGCTTATCCAACAAACAAATCCTGGCTGGTGAATCCTGACACATGCAGTTGTAAGATCTGTGGGAATGATGGAGGTTTGGGTATTCAGAAACTGGAGCATCAGCAGCGAGAATGGAGAGAGGAGCATCCCAAACCCGGGATCTGGGGCTAATTCCACCGTACACACGACGCCGAAAGATGCAGGTGCCAAACGTGGGGTTTCACACACGTGAAAGTGGCCAGTGTGATGTGATTGCAAGCGGGGAAGAGGTGGAAGGAGCCAGCCCCGGGTCAAAGCCAGATCCAGTTCCTCCCTACACACGTGGGGCCTGTCCCACCCCAGGGAAACACACACCCAGCACCATGAGCGAGAAAGAGCTTCCGTTGGGGACAGGGACAGGGATGGGGACAGGGACAGGGATGGGGACAGCTCTGTGGACAGGACTCAGAGAAACGCAGAGCCCCTTAAAAACCCAAAAAACTAAATCATGGCTCTGCAGATCTGTCAGGTTTGTGAGTGCACACACGGCTTTAAAGTACAGAGAAGAGGTTGCCCGGTGTTCAGCGCTGTCTGACAGTGACAACCGCACATCGGGGTGTATGTGACATCCCCAACGAGCGCGGAAAAAGCACTGGG